TGCCATCTCTGTTATATATCAAGTTCCCATTATTATGGGTGCCTATTTCCAGAATCTCTTTTACATTCAACTTATCTGTCTATCTATATGCCAGTGCCACATTGTTTTAATTACTCTAGCTTTATCATTTGAAGAGGCAAATTCCCCCTTCCTCCTAATTTTTCTTCAAAATTATTTAGCTACTTATCACCGTATAATTTCCTTTTAATCTTAGAAATGGCTTGTGAAGTTTTACAGAGATTTTTTTCAGAATTTTGTTAGAAATATATAGAATTTGATTAATTGGGGAAATATTACCATCCTTAGTGATATTGAGTATTCTTATCTATGAGCATGGTACATCTTTGTATTTATTTAAATCTTTAAAAAATGTCTTCAGTACCTTTTTTCAAATTTCTTCATAAAGCTGTTCCACATATATTTTTAGATTTATTCTTAGTTACTTTATAGATTTATTGCTATTGCAAATGTATACTTTAAATTCATTTCTTCTAAATCGATATTGTTGGTATATACAAACACCAGTGACATTAGTATATTGACCTTGTTTCCAGCAATCTTTCTTGTTAGTCCTTATATATAATTTATAGATTCTCTTCAATGTTTTGTGTAGATAATCATAATGTAACATCTTTATTCTTCATTTTCAGACTTTTACTTTTTATTTTCTTATTATACTAGTTATAATATCCTGTAAAATGTTGACTAGGAATGGTAATAATAAACGTATTTGTTCTCAAACTCCTTTTACTAGATTCTACCACCTCCTGCTTTTAGCCCTACTCCAAGATAAATTGTCTTGTTATATCCCACTAATCCAGAAGGTTTCTCAGTCCCTACTAACCCAGACCTCCCTATATAGTTGTGCAGCTCCTACTAACCTAATGTAACCAGATCGCACTTAATAAAGATGTCCAACCCTCCATAGGATTTTCATTTGGATGGTCCACTATTCTCTCAGGTGCAGTGTGTTTGAAGTGATTCAAAACCTTTCTATATATCTATGTTCTTTAAAGGCATCACCATCCACCCAGGCTCAATAGTCAGAAACTTATATTCTTCTCTCAATTCCCACATCTAATTTATCACCAATCTTGTCAATTCTATATTCGAAATATCTGCCCAAGTATTCTCTCCTCTCCATTCCCAACACCAATGACTGGCTTAAGCCCTCAGTATCTCCCACCTTGACTATAGTATCAGTTTCCTAACTGGTCTCCCTGCCTTTCATCTCAGTTCTCACCTACCATTCTTACTGCTACCAAGTTTATCTTTCTAAAATGCAAGTCTGATCATGCCTCGCCCAGCTTAAGACTCTTCACTGGCTTCCCAGTGTCTATTATATGAAGTCTTAGTAATCCAGCTGGTCATGCAAGGCCCTTTATTTACCCTGGCTAGCTCCCTAACATACTTTCCTACCACTCCCCACCTTGCTCTATAGTCCAGCAGAACTCAAGTGCTTATAATTCAGCTATGCTATTTCTTGGTTCCATGATTCTTCACATACTGGTCTCTCTGCTTGAATTACTCTGGCAAAATCTTATTTGTTTTCAAACCCAGATCACGTGTCACTTCCTCCAGAAACTATGGATTAACAGCTCAACAAATATTTACTGAGCACTACCTATATACCAGGTACTATGCTATATGCCAGGCATACAAAGATGAATAAGACATACTCCAAATGGTGCAGCATCAGTTGGTGACTTTCTTTTCTTGCCCTCCTTTACCTTTAACTGCCTGAAGCATAATTTTTATTTACATGTTCTTTTGTTTTCTCCATTCTTGATAAATACACATATAGATGTAGAAATATCACAATATTCTCAAATACAGATGCATATGCACATATAGACTCAGTATTCAGAACATTCATGGATACAGTTTCAACTAGGAAGTACAATTATAAATGGTGAGATCATAAGCTCAGTACTTTGTGGTCAGAGCCTGGACCAGTCGACACATAGAAGCACAGCATAACTAGAGTAGTTAATTAAGGGTGTGTGCTCTGAAGACAGGTTGCTTGAGTTTGCATCTCAGCTCTATTACTTACAAACTGGGTGGCCCTGGGTAAATAACTGAATCTTTGTGCCTCAAGTTCATCAGCTATAAAATAGGGTCAGTGATAGTCCTTGCCTCATAGTGTTGTTGAAAGAATTATTGAAGTTAAAACAAAAAGTGCTCAGAATAGTGCCTAGCACAATGTAAGTGTTTAATAATAGTAGCTGTTATTATTTTGCAGATGAGGACACTTTTGTCTCAATCAGTAGCAGCAGGTCAAATGATTTTTACTTCTATATCTAGCAATGAAAAAACTATTTGTTCTGAGCCAAATGTATAATCTTATCTAATCTTTGTTGAATAAATGGCACATGTTGGCAAAATGACTGGCCCAGGAGAGCTCATGACAGTGGAATGGAGTTTTTCTTTGTCTGGAGCTAAATGGCATATGTGGAAAGAAACTGCTTTAGCACACGCTGATAGAGTCAACTATGCACATTGAGATGTAACTAGGTGAGAGTGCATGGTGGTATAATAACTAAGAGCACAAGATCTGGAATCAGATTGCCTCACTTAGGTTCATAACTCCACCACTTACTAGCTTTGTCACCTTGGGCAAGTTACTTCTTTGTATTTCAGCTTCCATTCCGTAAAATGGGATTGATAGTAAGTTCCTATTTCATACAGTTATTGTGGGAATTTAATGAGATAATGCATGTAAAGCACGTAGAACATTACTTGGTACATAATATGTAATAAGTGGTGAAGAAAAAAAGATGCACATAGTAGACAGAGGACCATATAAAGTTAACCTAAGTGTTCACTACAAGAGAAGAAATGGAGGTAGATGTTCAGTTGAATGAGTGATTCTCAAGAGAAAATAAGGGAATTTTCTAATTCTACTACACTTGGAATAACCTTTGTTAAAGTCATTATTTTGCTGTTGTTGTTCCTATGTAAGTCTCAACATATTCCCCCAGTTATGTTTGGGTTAGACCACCAGGCTTTCCCAGAATATGTTCCATGGGACATCTGCCCTAAGATATGTATGAGAAAAAAAGGTTTTGTGGTTGAACAATGCTGCATGACATATTCTCTTGGAAATTCAAATGTATATTAGCACCCTAAGGGGTTGATAGGTCCTGGAAAAATGTTTCGTTTAGTTTAACCCAGAATTTCTTGAATATATTTGATCAAAGAGCCCTTTTTCCATATACTATTTATTAACATTCCATGGAACTACTGTTCCATGGAATAAACATGGAGAAATGCTGACTTCAGTGAATAGCAAAATGACCTTAATACCAAAGCAAGGGCTAAGGGAGGTATAGGTGTGGGAAGGAGAGGGGTCATACTTTTTTAGACTGGATTGAAAATTTCCCTAGAACAATTCTCAAAGCCAGGAATCACACAAATCCCTCAGGGTCACAAACTCTCAAACATGTACAAGGTTCCTGGGAGCACATGCAGGATCCCTGGAAGGTGTTGGGGGAGCACCCCTCACTCACATTGTATCCTGCTGCTCCTGCTGTGCTGGGATCCCACTGTGGAAGATCCAAAGGCTCCTAAACACACTGTGCCATCTGCCTTTGGCCATGCACTTCCTGATTTTACTTCCTACTTTTTAGAAGAGAAGAGGCTACAAGAAAACTATTTAAAGTGGAGAGGATCTATAGGGGAACCAGAGGCCAGACCCGGGAGTGGAGGGGGGAGGAGGGGATTTGGAGAGAAGAGACTGGGTTGAAACCTCCAGTCAGATTCAGGACAAGGATGCTCCTCTGGGTGGAGGCGAGAAGAGGGACTCCAGTAGTGCCAAGCAAAGAGGAGCCTTCCTGGCAGAGCAAAACAGGAGATACACTTAGGAGAAATAATACTGGCTTGTAAGGTCGGTGAGCAGAATAGGAGCTCCCTGAGGGCAGAAACCATGTTCAATGCATTTTTATAACTATTTTCTTCAGGAAAAAGGTGGTGGCTAGGAGGAGGGGGGAATTGTGTTTGTTACAGAACGGGGAGCACAGTGAGAAATCCCTGATAAAGGAGAGGTGTATAAGGTGGCTTGCTGTCTATTTATATTGGCCAGTGTTTATGTCACTTTCCAAATTAATGTCATTGGTTGGCTGGTTCCTGAAGGCAAGTGTGCCTTCCTCCTCTGATTTGCTTTACCCCTTACTTCCTACCAAGGAAGAAGGAGAGACTGGGAATACATCCTAGGTGGCCTGGTGCAAAGAGACCTAGAATCTTTCACCTTGGGTGGCTGAGGTCTGTGAGGGGCTGCTGAGCTGCATGCAGGATGGCAAATAATAAGGCCTAAACCAATATTAACGATGCCTAACTATGGATGGGGGGAGCAGGGTTTTTTCTTACTTCCGTTAATTTATATTTTTTTCTAACTTTTCTATAATGAGCACCCTTTTCTTTTATAACTTGGAAAATTAGGTCTATTTCTCTAGTTCACACCCCACCATCTTTATTTATAGAAAACCTGAACAATCATTACACATAAACTTCCTATTAGTGTGTTTTTAGTGGGGGAAAAAATGTTTTCCAAGCACGTGTGAGTGAATGGAAACATACGGCAGGAAATATTCCCAAGAAAGTTATATCCACATAATTCTACGAAGAGTGAGGGAGAAATTTGCTAGGGGTAAGATTTCCCAAGAACTTCTGGGGAAAATGGTAACAGGCTCTTATAGGTGGGAGGCGAGAATGGCACGAGATGGTGTTTCGGTGAGGAGAATCACCTGGCAGCCTGCCTGGGGGGCGGTGGCAGGTAGGAAGGGTGGCCGCGGGCCAGGGCCGGGGCGGAGCAGGAAACGGCGGCGCGCGGAGCGGGAGGTGGAGCCGCGGGGAGCTCCCAGGTGGACTGGAGCCGGGCGGTACCTGCCCGCGGAGCCGGACCGGTCCTCCCGCCGCGCCGCGCGCAGTGAGCGGAAAGCGGGGGGATTCCTTCGAGAAGTGGTGCGCCCTGAACCGGCCGCTGATGAAGACAGACACAGTGTCCCTGGAGCCCCTGAGCTGAAACGGACCGGAGAGGGCCGGCATGGGCCCCGAGCTGCCCGCACCTTGGCTGCTGCTCTTCACCTGGTTCCCAGCAGGTGAGCCGTGGGAAAATGGGTCCCACCCGGGGCCCAAGGGGAGAGGAAGCCATTGTTGCCTGGCCTTGCAGAGCTGGCCACAGGCAGGACAGCGGAGGCCCGGGCCGCGCTCAGGTGGCTCTTGGCACGGGCGCCAGGAGTTGCGGGGACTGAATCGAGTTTCTGCCTGTGGGAACCTGTTGTTTTCTTCTTTTATTAGCCTAGGCCCTTCCGAAACAGGTGCAACTATGGAAGAAGCCAGGAGCCTCTGGGCATCTCCTCCTGCTCTTTAGGCACTTCTTGGTCTCTAAAGCCAAATTGATAGAGGCGGAAACACCACTCTTACAATTCCTAATTGTAATTCCTAATTCCCACTTCTGACCCTGGGCACCCCATCCTCAGAATTAGGACTTTGTAGCCAGCAGTCATCTAGGTCAAAAGAATAGTAAAAGAAGCCTTACAGACAAAAATCCCATTAGGGTATAAAACCCAATCCTTAAATCACCAGCGTGATGTTTTAAAAGCTGTTCTATTTTTACAAAGAATATTGAACGCTCAACATTTTTCAAACACAATGATTATAACCAAAGGGTATATTCTTTTTTTTTGGAATTTTATTTTATTTTTATACAGCAGGTTCTTATTAGTTATCTGTTTTATACATATTGGTGTATATATGTCAATCCCAATCTCCCAATTCATCCCTCTTTCCCCCTTTGGTGTCCATACGTTTGTTCTCTACATCTGTGTCTCTATTTCTGCCTTGCAAACCGGTTCATCTATACCATTTTTCTAGATTTTACATATATGTGTTAATGCATGATATTTGTTTTTCTCTTTCTGACTTACTTCACTCTGTATGACAGTCTCTAGGTCCATCCACGTCTCTACAAATGACCCAATTTCATTCCTTTTTATGCTGAGTAATATTCCATTGTATATATGTACCACATCTTTATCCATTCGTCTGTCGATGGGCATTTAGGTTGCTTCCATGACCTGGCTACTGTAAATAGTGCTGCAATGAACATTGGGGTGCATGTGTCTTTCTGAATTATCGTTTTCTCTGGGTATATGCCCAGCAGTGGGATTGCTGTGTCATATGGTAATTCTATTTTTAGTTTTTTAAGGAACCTCCATACTGTTCTCCATAGTGGTGGTATCAATTTACATTCCCACCAACAGTGCAAGAGGGTTCCCTTTTCTCCACACCCCCTCCATCATTTGTTGTTTGTAGATTTTCTGATGATGCCCATTCTAACTGGTGTGAGGTGATACCTCATTATAGTTTTGGTTTGCATTTCTCTAATAATTAGTGATGTTGAGCAGCTTTTCATGTGCTTCTTGGCCATCTGTATGTCTTCTTTGGAGAAATGTCTATTTAGGTCTTCTGCACATTTTTGGATTGGTTGTTTGTTATTCTAATATTGAGCTGCATGAACTGTTTATATATTTTGGAGATTAATCCTTTGTCCTTTGATTCGTTTGCAAATATTTTCTCCCACTCTGAGGGTTGTCTTTTCATCTTGTTTGTAGTTTCCTTTGCTGTGCAAAAGCTTTTAAGTTTCATTAGGTCCCATGTGTTTATTTTTGTTTTTATTTACATTACCCTAGGAGGTGGGTCAAAAAAGGTCTTGCTGTGATTTATGTCAAAGAATTTTCCACCTATGTTTTCCTCTAAGAGTTTTATAGTGTCCGGTCTTACATTTAGGTCTTCAATCCATTTTGAGTTTATTTTTGTGTATTGTATTAGGGAGTGTTCTAATTTCATTCTTTTACATGTAGCTGCCCAGTTTTCCCAGCACCACCTATTGAAGAGACTGTCTTTTCTCCATTGTATATCCTTGCCTCCTTTGTCATAGATTAGTTGACCATAGGTGTGTGGGTTTATCTCTAGGCTTTCTATCCTGTTCCATTGATCTATATTTCTGTTTTTGTGCCAGTACCATATTGTCTTGATTACTGTAGCTTTGTAGTATAGTCTGAAGTCAGAGAGTCTGATTCCTCCAGCTCCATTTTTTTTCCCTGAAGACTGCTTTGGCAGTATCTCCATACAAATTTTAAGATTTTTTGTTCCAGTTCTGTAAAAACTGCCACTGGTAATTTGATAGGGATTGCATTGAATCTGTAGATTGCTTTGGGCAGTATAGTCATTTTCACAATATTGATTCTTCCAATCCAAGAACATGGTATATCTCTCCTTCTGTTTGTGTCATCTTTGGTTTCTTTCATCAGTGTCTTATAGTTTTCTGAGTACAGGTCTGTTACCTCCTTAGGTAGGTTTATTCCTAGGTATTTTATTCTTTTTGTTGCAATGGTGAATGGGATTTTTCCTTAATTTCTCTTTCTGATCTTTCATTGTTAGTGTATAGGAATGCAAGAGATTTCTGTGTATTAATTTTGTATCCTGCAACTTTACCAAATTCATTGATTAGCTCTAGTAGTTTTCTGGTGGCTAAAGGGTATATTCTTAAAGTAAGCAAATTGCTAAATGGACAGAGACTTCAGAAAGTGGAGCTCCAGGTGTTCATGAACCAACCATGCAGTGTGAGTAGCCAGGATACTGAGGTGGTCAAATAATACAGACTGCTGTATTTGCCTGGCATTCGTTAAATGGAAGCCTACCTGCGTGACACATTTTAGAAGCAAAGAATGCTGAACATGGAAAAATCCTAAGTCCAGGAAGAAATACAATTTACATTGTGACATATACACACATATATGAGATTTATAAAATAGGAACAAAAGGTATACACACACACACACACAAAACCAGTTACTATGTTAGATAAGAGAATAACAAATTAACATTAAATATTACTTTAATAACATTTAAATTCATAGAAAGTATTCCCCAAATTAACAGTATTAAATAGAAAAATCCACTAAGTTGATTTTCTCAAGACCCACTGCAAACTGAGGTATGAACTTTGGAAAACCCTGCATTAGAACGTATTCATTTTGGTCTGTCACCTTGTTCTCTTCTGTTTCTAAAGAAAAGTCAACCCAGCTCTCTGATTAGCATCCAAGTTTCTGCAGTTGCGAAGTGTGGGTCAGTAGAGAGATTATGTCAGATGTGGGTACTGGCTAGTTGGTGTGGCTTGGGGCCTCTGATGAAGCCTCTGAGGTCAGGAAGTCCTGTGAAGTTACCAGAGTCTTTATGTTTGGAGCTGTGGAGAGATGGGTTGTCAGAGGGTTTTGTGTGTGTGTAATTCTCCAAACTGTTTTTCCTTAAAAAGAAAGAAGTCTTTTTTATCACACGAGTGATATTTGCTTCTTAAAACAGAGCCTTAAGATAAGGCTAAAGTAAGTTCCTATAGCCCTTTGCATTATTGGCTAATAGCTCTGGTTACCTTCATCCAACCTCAAAGTTTATTCCTGGAATGAAAAGTTTAGATTCCACCCCCCGCCCCCCCACTGCCAAATTCTAAAAGGTTGTGTGTTGTTTGTACTTTTGTGAATATTTAAAAAGATCTTAGAGAGGTGTTAACTTATAGATCCACGTAGTTATCAACTTATATTATTCTTTGGGAAATCAGAGAGCTGACTTCTAAGGGACAAGATTCTCAGAGAGCATCTAGACCAGGAGCTTCCCCTTGGTGGTGGGGGTGAAGGTTGGGATCATACTGAAGACCTAATGACATCTTGGTCCCTGAAACAGTAGATAGTAAAAAGTAGAGCTTCTCAGGTGTTGGATAAGGGACTGTCCACTTGAGTCCTCCCTTACCCCCCACCCCCCTGCCGTGAGGCTCCCTGAAGTACCTCCCAGAACCCCAGTGCTCTGCGAACACAGGTAGAAATCACTCCCAGTCCTTGTCTTCTCCTCCCAGCCAGTTTTACAGATAAGGAAATCTGTGTCCAGGGAAGTCAGGCATCTCAAGTTGACACAGTGGAGTTGGTTTGAGAGCTGGGGCGACGGGAACCCTGGCGTCCTCACTCTTAGTCCATTGCTCTTTCACCTATTTCATACCACGGAGCAGGTTTGTTTTGTCTAATTGAATCCTGGTAGAAATAGAAATTGGCTACCTCCTGGATGTATAGCCAGATGTTAATTATTAAACCTCTTGCCTCAACAACAATGCAGTGGGATGAGATGCTAGGTAATTACTGTACTGTCTGCCTAAGTTTCTTTCAGCCTAATACTTTATTTCATTATTTGAAGTCCTTAGGGGAGAAATAAGATTGTGTGTTTTAAGAATTAGGAAGACTCTGATCATGTCTTGTCTTTCTCCAGTCCTCCTTTCTGGATCTGCCAATCTACAAATCTTAGGGTAAGGTGGGGTCAGAGGAAAGCATTCTACACTTTCTTCATTTCCCAAACCCAGTTAATCACCATGTGCTATTGCTTAATCCCAGCACCTTAACCATTTCCTTGCCTCTAGGCCTGCTACCTCGCTGCCTAGTTTCAACCATCCTCTACCCAGATGATAGGTTAGCCTACCTGGATTAATCTTTCCCACCTGAGTCCTCCAAGAACCTCTACTATATCCCCATAGTTTATATGAGTGGATTAAAGCTCTTTGGAATTCAAGCTTCACTCATTATGGCCTCACTAACATGGGCAGCCTTGTCTCCACTACTATGAGCACGCTCTTGTACCCTCTGTCCCCCCAACATACACCCTTCGTCCTTGCTTTTTGTCTGGCCATATGGTTGACTTTAACCATTTGTTTTCTGTACTTTCAGAGCACTTAAACTTTGTTCCAAGCAGCTTAGCCTGTCTTGTATGAATTTATTTGTTTGTTTATTCAGCAGAGGTTTAATGCACACCACGTGCCAGATGTACTCTCAAACAAAAGCAGACACGGCTTTGGTCCCCATGGTGCTTATGGTCTAAAGGAAATACAAGCAAATGTAGAAATACAACTATGATAGGGACCATGAGAAAGAGATACAGGGTACCACAAGAGCATATAATAGATGGATTTTGCTCATTCAGGAGGCCCTCCTTGGAGAAATGATGCTTATATTGAGAGCTGAGGGGTGGTCATCCCAAACAAATGAATAGCATGTGCAGGGCT